TGAAACAAATCTTGAGTAAACATCTCCAGGGAGAGAAGGAGAAGGAGGGAGGGAGGGGGAAAAAAAGGCCATGATTCGATCAGCTTGTCAGGGAAACAGGGGGAAAAAAAGGCCGTGATTCGATCAGCTTGTCAGGGAAACGACATGGCGAAGAAGGGAGAGCGACGTAACACAGAAAGATTCACTGCGATCTCATTATTCTGTGCCATAAAAGGGTTTTACCCTGCAGTGCAGCAGAGTGAGTCGGCCCCACGACGTGGCAATGCCTCCTCCAGCTCCTGGGGAAGTATTTGTGAGATTCCTCAGTTATATTTTCATAGCTAAATGGTGTATTTATCTCCCTCTGTGGTGAGTCAAATATATGCATGAAGCACATCTTGGGCAAACATCTTCAGGGAGAGGAGGAGGGAGCGAGGGGGGAAAAAAGGCCGTGATTCGATCAGCTTGTCAGGGAAATGACACGGCGAAGAAGGGAGAGCGACATAACAGAAAGATTCACTGCAATCTCATTATTTTGAGCCATAAAAGGGTTTTACCCTGCAGCGCAGCCACTCTTACTCGCCCCAAGAGTGACAATAGCCCTCAGGAGAAGGAGGTCACAGGTGAGCGAATTGATTTCACACTCATCGCCTGGCTTTGATAACCGATATTATCTCACGTTCCATGCTGTTAGCGACTGTCCGTACGGATGTCCCTCTCGGCGCTGATCTGCTTGAGTTATTCACTAAGTAAGATGTGAGGAAGACAGCTCTTTTGAAGTAGCTCATTAAGTATTCCCTACAGATGATTCCACACTTAGGCTGATTAAAACGAGGTAAATGGGGCCCACGTGAAGAAGTTCTGGGAGTTCAAAATGAAGGTGGCATGCCAAGCTAAGACGACTGAACTATTGAACTTCCTACCTCTCCGTGCTCTTTGTGAATTCTCAGTCCTTTTGTGCACTCGCTGATGATCCAATCTTTGAGGTTGGACTTTTGTTGAACTTTTCTCATTAACCTGTCCAACCCCTTTTATGCCATGAGCCCTCAAAAGTGCTTAACCTGTCTTCACATGCAGAGAGACCCACACAACACCCTTTAACACCCAGAAACCTCTACACAGCCAGTGCAACAAACGCACATACTGGCACGCACTTATGCAGCACAAAGAGATCAAGTACTTAATTGGCATGAATGTTTTAGATGTGTTTTATGCATAATGCAACTTACTAAATGTAGTGACACTAAGCTAATTTGATGGTCTTCCAGCCTATCCGGGCTGGTTTTAGAAGGGTTTTAGCGACTTTTCAGCTGTCAAGTCCAGCTGGTCGACTAGCTAAACAGCAGCTTGCCCCAGCTGGGAGACCAGCAAAACAGTTTAAGCAGTGTTTTTTCAATAGCATGACAGTAGCGAAGTGTACATTTTCAAGTAACAAGTTACGCTATTCAACAAGTAGTGGTGTAGCATGACAAAACAGAAATGCTATTGCAAACACAGATTTGCAGCCAAGACAATAACCAAATTATCTGTCTCTCTTGTTGTTGTTTTTTTTTTTTCTTTTCCCTTTTATGTAGCTTTGGGAAATGTGTATTGATTTGTTGAAACGGTTAAAAAAAACGATTCATTGATTCTTGTGCAGAACTTTTATTAGTTTAAACTTTAAATGCATCTGTGTATATCAAATGCTATTACCCTATTTGAAATTCTCATTGTTTTTTGTTCCAGATAAATACTGTTCTGAAGTTGTCATTTCTTAGGATAGTTGTATATTAAAAAAAAATAAAAATTAAATAGCTCCTTTAAATAGCTTTAATATTAGTTAGCTAAATTTTGTACAGTCCGTAAATCGGAGAAAGGCACAGCTTGACTTCCTTCTGTAAATTATGAATAACTACAGTTACTCATAGTAACTGTTTTATTCTCACTCACACTTTGTTTGACACGATAGGACTGTTGTCTTTACAGTGACACCTCAATTTTTTTATTTCCCTGACCCCGAGATAAGATGTAAGTGTGGTTTTTGAAGTGTAATTCTCATGAATAATGTGGACTGTTAAAAGATTTGGATTCCACATAGAGACTGAACACCTGGAGCCAATTATTTAACCTCCAAATGAGGCATCCAACAGCAGCTGTTTTGGCTGGGACCTTTGCCCATTTACTGGATGGAAGGATTGAGCTTGTCTTTAAGATGCTTGGCTCACGATCCAGCCTACTGCCATCACTCAGAATCACGTTCCAGGGATCTAAATGAGATGGTGCACTCTTAACCCCAGAAAAGGATGCTTTAGTGTAATTATCATGACAGGCATATACTTATTGCTGTATTTGAGATACTAAATGGTCTGAAATCTTCACATTTAAATGTGGTAAATGTACAGTGATCTTCTTTAAAAGGTTTGATTGGAAACACATGCAGACGAGACCCCCGTAACATATAGTAACTGGACATGGAGGCAACTAGTTTGACAGCTTTTATTTTATAACAGTTGGCTCATCAGATCTTCTTCAGCTCTGAAATCCTGCATTTAATCATGTCATACTCTTTCTTGTAGAACTGATTAGGCGATTTCTGTCATTTCTGTTATCTTACCCTACGTGTCCATTGATGCAAAGGGATGCATGAGCGGCCTTGTCCATCGTTCTCTAAGAGAGTTGAGTGGCAGACTGGCATGGGGGATTGTGGGATTGATAGCAGAGTAATGCCGAGTTCACACTGCATGATTTTCAAACCTGTCGGATCGCCGTTGTTTTCACACTGCGTGACTATCTGGGGTAGCATTCAGTTGCTGCTGTGTTCACATTGCACGATGGATCGGCGACAGGGGGGTTCACACTGCATGACTTCACAATAGGAAGAATCGCCGACAGCTCTGTCTGGTCCGCAAACTACGTTTCACAACAAAACACACGCAAGAAGTGATAAGGAAATAACGCGAGAACCCGCATGCGTCAGACTCGTTCTCGAGCGAGACTGGAATTATTTTAAATATATATACAGCCCGCAAATAGTCTGTGAGCAGATTTCCAGCTACAAGGAGAAAAAGAAAAACAGATTATGCAGGAGGGAGATGCAGGGAACAGGGATTGGGTGTTCTGCAAAGAGAGTTGGAGGTAAATAATTTAGCAGTAACTGTTATGCTGATGTTGTGGCTGGTCAAGCAAATGTAGGCGCTTGTTTCTGTATGATATAATTGTTCATATATCTATTAAAATACTGATATTCTGGTCTATAACTCCTCCCCGAACTTCCATCTGCCCGGTATCTTGTCTCTCATTGGCTGTAGGTCATCGCCAATGTAGTTTTCAGTCAGAAATCATTTCACACAGCGTGATTGTGAATCGCCGACAGCTCCAGATATTATAGCATGCCAAATATTTTGCGGGCGTCGGCGACGTGTCAGCGATTCCCTCAGATCGCGTCTTTGATAATTCACACTGCGTGATTGTCACTCGCGTGAACGAGCACCGATTTGCCTCCGATGTCAGGCATTTGTCGGCGATTTCGCAAAACCTGTCGGCGAGTGAAAAATCGGGCTAAAATCGTGCAGTGTGAACTCGGCACGATTTTCAAACTCGTCGGATCGCCGTAGTTTTCACACTGCTTGACTATCTGGGATAGCATTCAGTTGCTGCTGTGTTCACAATGCACGATGGATCGGCGACAGGGGGTTCACACTGCATGACTTCACAATAGGAAGCGCCGATGTAGTTTTCAGTCAGAAATCATTGCACACAGCGTGATTGTGAATCGCCGACAGCTCCAGATATTTAGCATGCCAAATATTTTGCGGGCGTCGGCGACGTGTCGGCGATTCCCTCAGATCGCTTCTTTGATAATTCACACTTATTGATTGTCACTCGCGTGAACGAGCACCGATTTGCCTCCGATTTCGGGCATTTGCTAAAGTTTATGCAAATCAGAGGTAAAAAAAGTTAAGCCAAGGTTGTGACATCTGTCATGAGCATTTCAAAAACTGCTACAGATACATCAGATAGAGTTTCAAACTGAAAAAAAAAAAAAAATGATGTAATTTTAATTACCATTTATAAAATGTCCTTATACTGTAATAACTTTTCCAGGAAGATTAATTTAAATGCCAAGCCAAAAAAAAATAAAAAATCACCATACAAGTATTCCATATTATTCCTGAGCTGTACTTTATTCTTTTCTGAAGTTGTACGATAACTTTGTGAGAGGAAATTTAACTTTGATTATTTATATTTTGTTCTCATAAGTCAATCTCAAAAACCGTTCACAGTTGCAGTCAGTTAAAAAAATGGTCCCTTTTGAGACATTGATATCAAACGCTATTGGTTTTGTGCATCATATTCAATTCAAGTTTATTTGTACAGCGCTTTTCACGATACAAATCATTGCAAAGCATCATATGACTGACTTCAATGCAAACAAGAACAATTAAGAGAAATTGAAGATTCATACATATGTGGGCTTTTCATTATACATTTCACATTTCATTATATTTAATTTAGTTTAATTTAATAAAAAATGCAGTTTGCATGCTTTCATTGTGGCTAGGGTGTGGATGGGTCAAGAAAAGTGTACTTAATAAACATTGCAAACATTGCATGTACACTTTAGGCACTTTGGGCGTTCAGAAATAAAGTTAGCATTTCCCCAGCATTAATCATGCATAAATGTAATGACTTTATTTGATGTGTATATTAAAGGAAATCATAGATCATACTAAATGTAAGAAATATTTTACAGACACAAAGCGGCAGACCTCAACTGTTTTGGGTAGCATTGAGCGGATTTCTTCCACACCAGTGGACACGCAGGGTCACCGCTCTCGGACCCCATCTGCACCTCACCCCTCTTTGTAATTGGGCTCCATTGTGTTTATGAAACGCTTGAACTTTTCTTGAGGCACTGTGAGTTTGCATGTATAACAGATAAAAAAAAAAAGACCACATACAGTAATATGTGAAGTGCCCCATTTAGACTCGAGTGCTCGTGACAGCTCAGAAATTACAATGTCTTTTTTTGCACCCCTCAGGAAATTAAGTTGCAACCGCAATGTGTTCAAAACGAGAGCGCTCACACCGAGCCAAGTCCTTTTAATTTGCATGTTTTGTGCAAATTCCTGCGTGTCGATGAATTAAAACTGCGAGGTAATAAATTGAGCTTGCATTCTTTTGTCTGGATAGCATATTAATGTGGTTGGTTATGTGAAGCTTGTTATTTTCTTTTTCTTCATTTTCCATTTACAGCCAAAGAAGTTGAAAGACTTATATACATATATATATAGGAAAGAACGTATGCTGTGTCTGAGTGGAACCCTTGACTCCTGGAAACCTTTGTGCGGACCTCAAACTCATTTGGACGGAGCGTGCAGTCCCCATCCCTGCATGGCGCCAGCTGACAATGCTCCACATCAACACCCTGACGATTGAGAGATCTAGAGTGACATGGGACCCTCTTCCATTCATAATAAAACAATTAAGTTGTTTGCTATGGAATGGACGGAGTGTTCCGTCAAGCTACGGATTAGTCTCCTGTGAGCAACTGCGTGATTCCTGTTCCCCCCACAACAGAGGTGGACAGCTGGAGGTGCTGGCGGAAGCAGGCTTCGTGCTGTCTGCTAGGCCATCTGGAAAAGAGCAGGATTCCAAGGCTGATGATGAGGTGGAGAAAAGTGCTTTCCCTTCTGCTCGGCAGCGCCGTGATTTGTGTTACGCCATTTGCGAAAGGACCTGTACTTTCTCTCTGAAGCTATTCTGACATTTCTCACTTCCCATCTCCTGCCCCAGGCATTTACAAGGGCCAACAGAGAGATTTTTACATCTCTGGTGGATCACATCAACTTTAAGGGCCCGTAGGACAGAATCGTGTCCATCCAATAGTATTTATTTAATACAGCTTTAACCTTTTAACACAGTTATTTGAGTAGCAGGTCACACTTGGTATGTCTGCATCAAATAAAGGGGTCACGACTTTCAGAACTCAAAATGTCATTCGAGTTCAAAAATAAAAAATGTTTGCACAGTATTTTGCTTTGTGATTTGCCAACATCAGGCAGACAAAAGTTGAATGCTTGACCACCCATTCTGACACATCAAGTTTTTCTATTCTGTGTTAAGAAACTTGGCTCGCCAGTCACGGGCTAGCGATTAGGACAAACCAAGTGGCCAAAGCTTTGTAGGTTAGCATGGCCCTGTTAGCCCCTTTTGCTAGATGCTGTAAATACACCTTTTGCTTCTAAAAAGCATTTTTCTGCATTGCCAACCATTCAAAATTAGCCATGAATTCTGACAAAAATATATTCAGGTAAATTGGGACACTTATTGCCATTGAGACGACTGAGGAAATTGTCCCAGTTATTTTGAATTAACCCCTTTTTTGGCAAGGTATACAACATAAAGACATAGATGTCATACTTTTTTGTGCAGCTCTAAAAAAAAAATTGTCTTTGTCGCAGCTCAGGATACTAACTACTGATTAGGGTCATGTTGTCCGTTTACTGGTGCTCTATAATGGTGGTCATATGGCATTTATAGATCCAAAACTTTCTTTGTGCAAAGATTGCCTATTTCTAATAACATACCTCTGCCCTAACCGAACAACTAAAATTGAGATGAATGGGAATGCTAACAGCTCGCATTACAGAAATCAACATTTAAATAGATGTGAAATGAACTTCAGTTTGTATCCTCATGTAAGCTATGTCAATCACTCACTGAGCAATGACCAACTTTTTCCATTTTCTTAATTTTCTTGCCATCATGTAAATATGCTATAATTAAATGTAAGTGCCTGAGATTAGCCAGAACATATTTCGAAAAGTCTTTTTTGTTTTATGTATTTATTTAAAACAGAGATTTTAAAGGTTCTGCATACCAAAATGACTCATTTGCTTTCTCAAATCCTTCCTAATGCCATTTAGTTGTAGGGCAGAAAGAGAAATTCCAGTAAATCTCAATGACTAAATGTTTCCAGTGTTTCTTAACATTATTTGAACCCCTTTTTCGACATCAATACGGAAATGTCATATTATATTGGCTGTCATTTAGCATTAGCCTGTCATTACTATTTTTATTGAAACAAGTGAAGAACACGCAGACACACATTTTTTTTATTAATAATTTATTTCATAGAATTAACCAATCAAATTTGAAATCTTTCCCAGTGCTCCCTGAAGCCTTCTTAAATACTCCCTGAGGTTGAAGTACCCCTTGGTCAGTCAGACCCTCATCTTTTGCTTTTGTGCTGATTGGTTGGATGAGTCCTGTCTGTCTGTCTGAGGACAAGGTGTTTTGGAAAGCTGAGACTGAAAGCTCTTAGCACTCAGGAGGACATGGCGAGTGATGGGGCCAAGCAGAATTGGCTTTAAGTGTGTGAAAACTGGGGCTTGATAACAGGTTTTGGGATCATTTCCATTAGTCTGTTTGTTTTTAAAACATTGTTGCTAAGCAGTAGTCAAGTTAGTCTTAAACATGGGGGCAACGCAGGAACACGCAGGCCGTAACACTGGAGGCACATACACTATACATATCATCTAATGCCACTCAGATGATCACCTCCACTCATCTATTTCTACTAGCAGATTTACACAAATAAAAGTACACATTTCTTCACTGTTGCAGATAATTTTTCCTTTGGATGAAAGACCGAGCCAATGTTAGGCATCTAACACCCAAAATTTAGAAATAATTTTAATATACCGATTTGGTGCTCAAGACAAATTGTTTTATTATTATCGATGTAAACAACAGGTTTTGCTGCTTAATATTTTTTGTGGAAATTGATATCTTAAATTGTAATAACATTTGACAATGTTACAGTTTTTACTGTATTTTTGATCAAATAAATGCAGCCTTTGTGAGCATAAGAGACTTATTTCAATATAGTATGTACTGTAGCTCTTTTATTCTTACAGCTGCCATATTTAATCAGACACTTTCTCCTATTAATTTTTCTACGAGTAGCCTTGTGTTTATTTTGTCTCTGACTGGATTCAGCACTTATTTCCAAGATAATGAGGTACAAAGACAGGGATATGGCTTGATCCAGTCATAATTTTCAGCTAGTAATCCTACCTTTCACCTTCTCTCTTTCCTTTATGAGGTCTGTGCAGAGAAGATGGCTTCTCTTCACTGAGCAGTTATTATTAACCCCAGTGACAATCACCTTTCCAGACTCCCACTAGTGTGTTTATACTGAGTCTCAGTTGGAAAACTCCTGGTGTCGGTAAACGTAGTTCCTCATCAGCAAAGCTGTCACAGAACGATACCTCATCTCTTGACCCATCTATCACTATCACGTCTCTGGTGAGCGGCATGAGTAACTTCAGTTATGATTAATCACAGTGACCAATAATGCCAGTATTTTATTTTATTTTTTCCTCTCTGCCATCAGTCTTTCTGATAGACACATTGACACTGAATGAGTGCAAGTTTGTCCAGAGTGGATGTTACTTAGCAGCCATCTTTTTTTTTTTTTTAAACAATAGGCTTTCTGATTATATACTGGTCACACATTTCTTATATCGCAACTTTTATTTTCTAATAAAAATATTTAAACGGAAAATAAAATAAAATCAGAAAAATAGGTTTTGATTTACTTTTATTTTTCTTATACCTCTGCAAACTGCTTTTCTTTTCTTAAAAATAGTAATTGCAATTTTTTATTTCACGATTCTGAGATGTAAACTCAGAATTCTGAGAAAAATAGTCAAAAGTCTGAGAAAAAACTTTGCAATTCTGAGTTTATATCTCACAATTCTGATTTTTTTTCTCAGAAAGTGTTCTTATATTTCTATTTTATATTCTATTTAATATTCTGTTTCGGTAACACTTTATTTTAAGGTGTCCTTGTTACACATTACATGTACTTACTATTGTAATAACATTTAATTGTGCATAATTACAAGCAAGTAACCCTAAGCCAAACCTTAATCCTAACCCTAACCATATAGTAAGTACATGTAGTTAATTAATATTACTCAGTACTTAAATGTATAATTACACTGTAACAAGGACACCTTAAAATAAAGTGTAACGTTTATTTATATTTTTTATATTCTATTTCTATTTGTGGTTGAATAAATTAGGCTACATTCAAAAAAGAACAAAAATGTTTTTGGATTAAGTAAAAAAAAAAAAACTTAATTCAAGAGATATTTTCTGAAAACAAGTAGGTTTGTCTTGTTTCAAGATGAGGTATTTTTTGGATAAGGGTGTTCTTTAAGAGATGTCTTCAAGTGATAAACAGTGTTTAATAAATGAATGAATGAATGAAGGAATGAATGAATGATGCGTTTATATAGTGCTATATTGTGTATTGTTGAACAATATGCTATGTGTGTGCGAAACCTGTGTGTGATCACAGGTTTATATATATTAGGATATACCTGTATATATATTATATACTGTATATATCCAAGCAGAATGTCATTTTAAATCTGAATAAAATTCCGCTTTTACCTGATGACTCTCTCACTATATGTAGACACACTTGGCCCAAAAAGGCACAAGACGTCTAAAGCAAAGCCACCTTCATTTCACCCTGAAAGATATCCTACCAGGAGCCCATGTCTGTGGGCCTGAGAAAGAAGCCAGTTCTTTTGTGTGGAATCAGGGCTATGGACAACATTACCCTCATCCTTCCTCGCTACAGAACAATAGAACTGGCACAGAGCTCACCACTCACACTAGAACCCAGTACGCTAGTTTCACAAAAAGGACTGGAATGCAGCCAGAATTCCACTTTGTAAACTATGACTCACCACTGAGAGCAGCTTCTCTTTAATAGCATATGCAGCGACAAAGCCCAGATTGATGAAATTATGCTATGGACTCTGTTTGATAAAGGATTCCAATAGGACAAATTAGCTAATCAAATACCAGTACAATTGTGTCAAATAAGACAATGGCAGTGTTTTTTCAATGGCCAATTCTGATTCTTTCATCGTTCTAGAATTTTATCGTTCTGATTATTTCAGCTCTCTGTTCTCATTGCTCTAGAAGTTAACATATACAGATTATTATTACTTATTATTAATATTATTACTTATTAATAATATTATTATTATTACCTTTTATTTTTATTACTGTCTTTTGTTTTAATTAATTCATTATTATTATTATTATTATTATTATTTCTTATTACTGCACATGAGATACGGGAAATAGCAAAAAATTACTTTTGTCCACCCAAAAATGAACTCTGAAAGCATACAGTTTAATTGGCCAAATATTTGTGATAAGTAATACAATATTTTGCAATATATTTTTCCCAGTGTACTTGGTTCTTAATGTCATTGTCCAAATTAAATTTGTTGGCAATTTCATAAAATAATTGATATAAAGTGGCTCAGATGTTTTATTTTTTATTTATTTATTTTTGCTTTTGTTTTTTTGTGAACACAATTTTCTTGATCTTGACTTTTTTTTAACCTTTTAATGTAATGTTAAAAAAAAGTCAAGATCAAGTAATTGAGCACTTCTATATGAGTGTCTGACAATTGAGAGGCTACAACATTAATGTTGAAGGCATTACATTGACTCATATGGTCAGTTTCATTGCCAGCCAACTCGAGGGACCAGAAGTTCTACATGCTTATAGAATGATGTTTGACAGAAGCCGATTAAATGGTTTGTGGCTGACATAGGAGATCCCATAACAGCCTAATCGTATTGTTTGCTTTACATGGCAATTTTGACAGGTTGGAGTGTTTGTTTGGTACTTCTAGTTCTGCAGAAGTGAAACACTTGACCTTTAAGTAATCTAAAATCATGGTGGGGTAGAATTTACAATATGATGTAAGCATCAGATGTAAAAATATGAAGTAAATGGCTTTTATTTCAATTGTTCTAGGTTAAAATAACTCATCTTGATTACATTACTGACTATGATTTTCAACATGTAATTTGTAATCAGTAACAGACTACAACTTGTAATGTACCCACTGAGAACAAAACATGTGATAGTATACTGATAAAATAGCAAAAATGTGGTCTATAT